CATTTAGACAATCCCATCCATCCCGCCCTTCCCACCAGATCCCCGTCCAAAGATGTTCATCAAAGGGGAAGGGGGGGTGGGAGTGATCACCAAAATTGTCAGTGGATCTCATTGCGTTCGAGACACGGCAAGGTGACGGTACCTCAGGGCCCAGCTCTTGTTGACCTGAACTGACTGATTACCTAACCTTCGCCCACACCCCAAATCCCACCAGTCGAGCTTTTTGCTGCGCTGGACCGACCGTTCTGCGCCCCGGTCTCGCTTCAACATGCATTGCATGCGATAGCCTGCAAAATCTGAGACTGGGGGGGGGGGGACAGATGGAAATGGAAACGGGGAATGGCTGCCTCCATCCTTATTCCTTGTTCTGTTGATCAGCGACACCGGACGACTTGTCGCGGCCTCGACACCTCGAACTGTCAATGCAACACATCTAGATCATTTGCTGAACTATGACGGCGACGCTGTGCCTTTTCTCTTCTTTGGAGGATATTCTGCACTGCTCTTCTATTTCGTTGAAAGGGCCTGGTGAAGGCACGTCGTTGGCATTCATGGCATTGCGAGCTAATGCCGAAGGAGGGTGCTGCAGGTCAACGCTCGACATGGACACCACCTCACCCAGCGTACCCATCGTAATAGGGCGAGGTACCTGAGTCACCCCAGCTCAGCAGCAACGCGTTGAGAAGCGCACTTGACGGTCATCACAGTCCATGCGGCGGGTGCACTTCATCCGCAAGACCTTCTGGTGCCACGCAAATGGAGGAGATAGCCTCATGGTCCGCAAAAAGCCTGCAACCTGTCTGTCATTCGGCACCCGTCAGTTTTGTGGGTGCGCCCTCCTCGAGAAGCCGGACAGAAGGGCAAGCAGGCGAGTCAAGATGCATCGTACGTGGCACTGGGCTGAAGGGGGGGAGAGTTCTTACGCCAGCGGCCGGCGCGGGAACCGGTGGTTGCCTCGCTACCTCAAAAGGAGGGATTGCATTGCTCTACATGTCCCCACAGGCAAGGATGTGCCATGGTTAGCAAGACATTCGAGGCTTCGATCTTGACCAGAGCCGGGGCTTTCTTCAGAGCAACCCCTGCACCACCCCTGTTCGACCCCCCAATCGTCTCTCCGTGACGGCGTGACCTGTAACCACTGATGGACGGGCACGTTCGTTCTCCGTTTGTGGCCAAGCAAGACGGGCAGTACGACTTTTCCATTTCCACACCTGCCGGCCGACCTTGCAGGTTAGGACGATGCAAAACGCCTCGACCGAAGTGCCACTGGCGTCGATCATGGCTGGCCTGGCTGCCTCGCCCTGCAATTCGCGAGGAAATCGTCACCACATTATCCTCACGACTGATGCCACTCATCTTTCAAGCCAGGAATAACGTGGCCGATCGTAGATTCGCCAGCTGCCTTCCTCACAAACATAGTCAAAGGGTCCGATGACTTGGGCAGAACGAGGACGTTTTACCGCCAACCAGTTCGACTCGTCGCCAGGGACGGCGAGTGGATCACTGCTGGCAGGCCTTGGCTAGTTCTTCCAAGGGAAAAGGGGGGGTGGGCTCTCTTTTGAGCTGGATGCTAGGCTGTTTGGCGTTCGACCGAAAAGAAAAGCAATTGGGCGCCGGGCGCCCTGCAGGGATAGAGCCACGAGATCTACCCGTTTCGTGTTTACCACTCAGTCCCCCAAACCCGAGCGTCAGATGAAGGGACCCGTTCTCCACCTCCGCATGACCACGCAGGTGTCTGTCGAATGGCAAGGTGCGGCACAAACCAACGTGACGGAGAGGTAAGCTGTCTTGAGGTGCTTGTCGTTGGTATTGGTTCCAGGGAGAAGTCTCGTGGTTAAGATGATTTTCGACAGTCGTCGTCACGCGTAAGTTTGTTGAGATTTTGAAAACAATACAAAACGGCATGCTTTGGCTGTTTGCCTGCACAGGATGACAGGGGTCACAAGGTTGGCAATGCCACCAGGGTGCCTCCCTAGGCAGGCAAGGTAGGCAGGTAGATGGGCAAGGCACGGGCGGGCGTAGCCGTAAAAGCATCGGAGGGTTGGGGAGGCTCCAGGCGGCGGGTTTTGGGGTGTCCTTGCTCTGTGCGTCAGGTCGGCACTCGGGAATTCGGATGATCAAGAGTGGCTCAACGGCTGCGCAACAACGAATTTCCGCAAACACCAAGTACATTGTTGGCCTTGGTAGCCACGACTCGTGGCGGTGCGCATTTCTGGAGGTTACGTCAGCACAGGGATGAGGATCAACGGGTCTGCCTAGTGGTCCCTTGCCAGAGAGAACACCACGTCGCGCGCAGCTCGTGATAGCAGCCATTGCACCCTTGTGTCGAAGAAATCAACCGCATCACATCGTCAGCCCCCCCATTCACATCGCATTAGCCGCCATGCCGCCTCGAATAAACATCCCACCTGTTACGCGCGTGGCTCTTGGAGCCCTGGCGATCCAGTCTTTTCTCAGCGCCGCGATCCGGTATCGCCAGTGGACTGCCAATTCGGAGATTGTTATCCCCTACCTCACGCTGATTCCCCAGCTTTCCTTGATCTACCCTTGGACATTCGTGTCCACGACGCTCGTCGAAAGCAACGTTTTCACATTCTCCGCCGCTGGCGCCACCCTGTACTATGGCGGAAGGTATCTTGAGCGAGCGTGGTCGTCGGCGGAACTAGCCAAGTTTCTCCTGGTCGCGTCGCTGGTGCCCAACGTCCTGACCTTCCTGGTCTCCATGATTTTCTTCACTCTGACTCGTAATGAGAGATGGACGTACGTCGCAACCCCCATCCTCACATCATGTCTGATTCGAAAGCTGACGTTTCCTACTTTCCAGCCTCATGACGATCGCCGGCACCATCCCCGTGCAGATCGCCTTCCTCGTCGCCTTCAGCCAGCTCGTACCAGCGCACACCGTAACCCTCTTCCGCGGCATCCTGTCTCTGCGCGTCCCGCGCTTTCCCCTTATCTACATCGGAATCATCACCCTCCTCTCCATGACGCTGATGTCCGTCGCATCCTTTCTCCTCGCCATTTTCGGCTTCCTCATCAGCTGGACATATCTCCGATTCTACAAGACCGTCTTCCCCGACCTCGATGCATCCCAGTCTGCAGGGCCTCCGCGGCGACGCCAGCGAGACGTTCGCCTTTTCCGAGTTCTTCCCCGGCCCCGCGAAGCCTTCGTGGCCGCCGCCGCGAACCAGATCTTTGAGGTCCTCGTCGCCATGCGCGTTTGCACGCCCTTCTCCCAAGACAGCGTTTCCGCCGCTCCGGGGGGGGAGGCAGCGGCCGGTTTCATCCAGCGGGGGGGGAACCCGGGGGCGCCCGTCCGGAGGCTGAAAGGAGGGGGCCCCCGGGCCCCCAAGAAGCTCGAACCAGGGGCTTCTACCCCGGGACCCGCGGGCGGGGGGGCCCCATCAAGCCCACCCTCCCTCCCTCCATGCGGCGGCGGGAGCGCCTCCTGGCCAGCCGACCGGGCCCACAGTACAGAAGCCGCCGCAGCCTAACACGCAGACGGCCCTGACGTCCCAGCCTGGGGCGATGCTGGGTGAGACGAACTATACCCCTGACCAGGAGGCGGATTCACAAGAATGGGCCGTAGGACATGTACGCGGGCCCGGCATATTTAGAGACTTGGTTTATCACTTGCGGGGAAGTCGTTGATGGAAAGGTGAATCGCCCTTTCCCTTCCTCCTCTATCTCTTCTCAGAGGGAGAGTTGGCTTTTAGCATTGGTTTTGCACTGGCGCACAAGGACGATACCTGTATGTAATGGGTGGATGAACGGCACGGGCAGAAGACGCGTCGCAGTTGCGGATTGACGCGTGTTGTAGGATTTTAGCGGTCGTCGAATGACAAAGGATGCCAGCGTTGACGGAGTCGCCTTCATCCTCCTGGACCTGCAGTGACATCACACTGTACGTCGTCTTTTTGACACCCGACCAATGCTCTGACAAGGCCGCCTATCTGGATGTATACGTAACCCTCAAAATAGATTAAAAGACCCAACAGAGCCGAGCTGCAACGGTCCATACTACAGGTCTGTCTCCTTTCGCCCACAGCTGGCCATCGAATGCGAGGCGGAATCAGACAATGCTGTGAAGCCGAGGACCTCGCCGAAAAAGTGGTCTCCAACATGCCTTGTGGGAAAAGGAGAACCCCATCCAGTGATCTCTTTGGAATGTGGTCGAGACATTGTATGGGGCGCGCTTTGTCTTAGGACCACGAGTCATCTAGCCACAGAATGACGACCAAGGTTTATTTAACACCGACTTCGTCATCCCTTGGCTCAGATGAGAACGTGGGAAAGAAAAAGCGCCGAACCTCTCGAGGTCACCAGTGAACACTTTTCTTGTCTTTCAAAAAAAATCTCCACAAGTCCAGATGGTGGAACAGCAGGCAGACGAAGTGGCCTCCCTATTTAAGATCATGCAATGCTGCTGTTTTCTTCTGAAAGCTGCCAGCGGCGTTGCGGCAGCTGTGGCAGGCGGCAGCCAATGACGCCGACGGCTGCTGGGGCGAAACGTGACGTTCGACGGCAGAGCGCCGCCCTTGCGCGGACCGGCTTGGCACGTCGAGGTCGAGGCTGGGCCCTAAAAGGGCACACCTGGGGAGGGGCCCTGGGCTCGGGCCTCCCCCCCTCCTTGGCCTACCTCAGGCTCGGTAGGCAGGGGGCGTGTCATTGTAGGGGGGGGTGGCCTTCCATTTGTTTTCTGCGGGACGATCTCATTCGGACGCAAGTGATGGGCCCGAGGTGTGGGCGGACGTGGCGCTTGGCTTATTGTGGCTTGCGTGCCTGTCGGAAACAGAAGGCGGACAGCGAGACCGGTGGATTAGGCGGGCCACCCGGCAGGCGTGACTTGACTCAGACAAGCGAGGGCGGATGGATGAGAAGACGTCTGTCTCACTGGGTGGCTGCTTTTCCCTGGCTTTGTTTGCATGACTGAGAGCCCTGCGTGCGTGTGTGATGAATGCTGGTGCATCCCGCTGCTGTCGCATTCCACAACATGAGGCAACGTAAATGTGCGCTTGGTGCGGGACGCTACACCGTGCCGGGTGCTCTGCGTCCTGGGACAGGCTGCTCAGCCAGCAGACGACGCGGACGGTTGAAAGCAGATGGACGGAACCAAGCGCTCGTCTGCCGGGTACATACTTCGTACCGACGCGTGGAACCGTCACCTCGTCCATCTTTGTCGAGTGCCAAACCGAAAGACAGCTGAATTTAGTCACCTTGTGAAGCCTCGTTCACTGATGCCCAGCCATCCGCCTGGCTCGGCTGGGGCTCATCGATCTGCGCGCCTGGTTGCGGGCGGTTAGGGAGGGCCGATCTCCTGGGTCTGTTTCCCCCCCTTCCCCCCCGCCCCCCCCAGCCTACACCTTCACATTCCCGGTGGCCTTAGGCCTCAGCTTGAGCTTGTCCACCCCCATCCCGCGAGAAAACGAGATCGGTCATCGGTGCGACGGTGCCTCAGAGACTCTTTCACGTGAGCTGCAGAAGCTGCTCAATCAAGGCCACCACTGCATTCCTTTCCTGGTTCTGCTTGCTGTGTGTTTCATAGCCTCGCTGTCAGTGGTGATGCCGTCATGCTTACAACTCGCTGCAAAAACCTGGCGTCGCTTTCGTCTCGCCTTTCGATGTTTGCTCCGACGGCCAGCACGTGCCTCGTCTCGAACTCGACTGAATTGCGAGGCAGGAATTGTTCAGATGACAAGACAAAACAGTACGTACCGTGTGGTTTGGTTTCTGCGATAGCCAAGGAGGTGGCCAGATCTTCAACTGGGCAGAGTGTGGGTTAGGAGACCCCGAAAGGATATGGGGCCGTCTGGCGCCGGCGACTGACCTTTGTTGGACACATCATGGTTCATCCTGACGACGGATTGACTGGCTCAGGCGCTATCAGACTGGATCCCGGATCGGTTCATCAGGGGAGTCCCAGCTCGGTTTCGAGCCAGCCAGACCCTTTTGCCTCTCCACGAACGGGTGCCTTAAGGTGTCAGACTGCCATCTGCCCTGTCCAAGAACCGACACTACATTGGTCCAAGCCCGTCCGTTGGAGCACCTACATGTACACCGACCGGTACCTGCCTCGCGTAGTCAGCCGGCGTCTGGATACTGTACCTCGATCAAGTACCTTGAGCGGGCGGGCGGGCGGGCCCTTGTCCCCTCCTCTCCCCCCCTCCCAGCTATATGTGTATGTACTGTCTTGCTACTGCTGCTACTGAGGTGCTGCTGGACTTCTCCTGCTGGGGCGTGTGGGCTGCTGCTTGTGGTCCCGCACCATCTCAACCTGCAGCGCTGTCTTGCCTGCGAGCATTCAAGGGCACTGTCACTGCACCTGCACCTGCTTCCACTGCTGCCACCTTGCTCTTGTTGCTTGCTTCGTTAGCTAGCCGTACAGCGAATCTCCACACCACCATCACGCATGCATGTCCACACGCACCCGCGTTGCCCACCCGCCCTCTCACCCGGATCCTTCCTCCCCTCTCTCCCCTCCTTCCCTTGCGCACAAAGCTCACACACGCAGGTGCAGCTGCCATGCCACGCCGCCCCCAGCCTGCCTGACCAGGCCAAGCTCGCACGTCACCCACCTTCTTCCGTCTCGACAGGCGACATGGCGCCAAGAGACGATATGCGCAGAGTAACCTCGTCTCACCGGGGCGCGCCAGCGAATGAACACGGCGCCACCGAGATAGACCCCATCGCAGCACACCACGCCCTACCCCCCCTGGATACGTGCCACGCCCCTTTGGCTGCTTCCCCCGCCCTTTTCTGTTCCCTCTTCCCACGCCCCCCCTCAAGGTGCCTCGCTCACGCCCCCTCCACTTTTGTCTTGCGGCGCTGCGGCGCATGCGGGTTGTATGATGAGCAAACGAGCAAGCAGCACAGGAAAAGAAAAAAGCATGGAGGGTCGACACGGGACAGACATGAAGCCGGTGGGAGCTGGCCTTGCACGAAGGGGACAAGGTCATTTCTCTTGATCGTTCGCTCGCTGTGCATCTCGCCCGCGTCTCTTGAGGAGTGCATCTGCTAAAGCAGGAGCGTAATGACTGGCTTGTTTTCCGACAAACCCTCGACTACATGTAGCTGATGGCTCCCCCCCCCCCTTTCTTTGCAGCACGAAGCGGGTGCATCGTCGCTTGTCATCCTATTATTCCCTGTTGCAGGAACGGGATGTGGCGCGAGATGAGCAAGCGGCATCGGCTGCGATGCGGTATCTGTGTCGCCAGGGAGAGCATGCACGCATAGCATCACCTCTCCCACGAGAGAGGCTACGGCACACGGTGACTCTCTGCTTCGTTGGAAGTTCACGATGCATTGGATCAGAGTCAGTCATGTGCCATGGGGGACTAGCGCACCATTACAATTGAATGGTCATTTATGGGCGAGGAAATATCACCGAGATGATCGCTTTGTCTTCAAGGACAATTTATCAGGTAATCAAAAGGTGGACGAGGCATTCCTCCCTTCTTTCTGGTGACAGAACTGTTGGGCGACGGGGTGAGGAGGAAGATGTGAGGATCGGACACGTGGGTAATTCCCCAAGACCTGCCTAGCGGCGAAACACTCTGCCCTGCCTGCCCTGATGGCCCTGGTGCCCCGGAATGCTTTGCTGAACGTTAGGTAGGGTAATTTAGCAGCAGAATTATGCTCCCCACCCTGCTTGTACGTCAACAGCTTTTGCCGGCGGGTAGCTGGTATTGTCTGAGCCGAGGATGCCTCATTTTTAGGGGGTTGTTCGAAAGGGAAGCGGTGACTGGGTCAAACCCAGACCGGCAAGACGGAGAATCCCAGGGGCACCCACCATATTTACGAGGTTGTATTTTTCCATGTCAGCCCCCCCCCACATTTGTCGGGGC